AGGAAAGAGAAGTAACTAGAAAAGAAGGCTGAGGAGGTGCCTCCAGGGAGGTTGGGAAGAAAACTAGGCAAGTGTGGTTCCTGGAAGCCGAGTGGAAAAAGCGTGTTAAGGAGGAGGGAGTGATCCACTGGGTAAAATGCGGCTGATGGGTCAAGAAAGAAGAGGGTTGAAAATTAACTAGGGTCACCGGGGACTTTGACAAGAACAGTTTCACAGAAAGGTAGAAGTGAAGGCTTGACTGGAGTGGGTTGATGATTGAAAGGAGAGAGATTTGAGACAGTAAGTTTAGACACAACTCTTGAGGGGGTTCGCCATAAAATACAGAGAAGTGAGACAGTAGCTGGCAGGGAAACCGGGGTCAGAGGGAGTGTTTGTTAAAATGGAATAAATAACAGCATGTCTGTGTGCCGGTGGGAATAATCCAGTGGAGAGTGAAAATCTGATGAACGAAGAGGGGAAAGTACCTCGTCCTGCGGTTGGAGAGAGGGGGTGGGATCTGGTGCGCAAGAGAAGGGATTAGCTTTTGATGGGCACATGCGTAGGTAGTTCATCTGTTTACAGGCTGGAAGGCGGAGCAGGTGATGCAGATCCTGAGGGGTGGTTGGGTGTGATGGTGGGGCTCTGTGGAAGTTCTCTTTCAGTTGCGTCAGTGGTTCCAGTGAGTTCAATGAAAATTCAGCCTGGTAGTTTGCCCAAACTTCTAACCGAGCATTCAGGACCTAGCATTCAGATGTCCAACAGCAGGTGTCAAGGACCCAGGCAGCTTTAAAAAGGACCAAAATTAATTTCAATTATCAGGTACTTTAGTAGCACCTCTGATTAAGAATACAGTTACCTGTTGAAGCAGAGAAACAGCCAGTAGAGGGAGAGCTCAGCACATATGTCATGAATATAAGGTATAATTTTGCCCAGAGATAAGTAGATCCAACACTAACGATGTTGTTCACGCTGATTTTCCTTGTTTTGAACTTGATATCGGTATTTCTATGGTTTTCTTATGGATAAGGCAGCCATCTTGCTAAAAGTTCAAAGCAATTTTTAAGACCACATTCTTTTTGACCTTTTTGCTTTCTGAATCCCCACTTTGGACTAAAAACATACCTACAGTTACCGAGGGTTATCCTAGTAATGACTGACTCTGTCTTTGAAGGTCAAACACTGCCTGAAGCTGCAGGTTAAAAAACATACTCTTCCCCTGTACTTGATGTGATTGTTTGGGTTGTCAGATACAGCAATGTGCAGTAGGTTCTGCTTTCTTCTCCTGGACAGCGTTTTAAAAATACTCGTTTTTCTGTTTTGTTTTTTAAATATGGATGTAAAATTTAAGTTCCAGAAAGAGTTATTTAAAACTGGATGACATTTCTACAATCAAACAATCCAATGTTGTTTGGGTTTTGGTAAACTTCAAGATTGTGTATCAAGACTCAGTTTATCTTCATCATCTCGTATTATCCATCTCTCCCAGTTGTCTTGTATTTGGCAGGGGGCCGGGGGAGGGAAATGAGTACTTTGTCTCCCTTGGGATGGGGGCATTTTTCCTCTCTTGCTCATGTAAGTCAGATCCATCTGAGTAATTCTCATCCTCAAAGAAAGAATGCTGCAGGATGGATCCTGCTATCTATTTGGAAGGGAAAAATGACTAACCTGCAGGGATAGGGCAGAGAAAAAAGAATATAAGAGCCCCAGTTCACATACAATTTAAGTTTAAATGAAAGAGGCAAATAGCATGAATCAATTTCTGAGGGGGGAAGTCATCATAAATAGCCCTCTGATGACAAATTAGTTTCACTTCTGCTTATTTGTAAGTGTGGCTTTGTGACTGTGGCTACAAAGGGCTCTATATCCCGGCTGGTTCCACATACCGAGACCAAGGCAAAGAAGCTGCCACTGTCTTCTTTTTGGAATCCTGGAGCTGAAGCAGAAAAAGTGACATCTGGTAAGTTGTTTCTCTTATGCAATTTATGCTGTAACTTATGGTTGCTTAAAAAAATAGCTTTAGGGGCTTCCCTGGTGCCGCAGTGGTTGGGGGTCCGCCTGCCGATGCAGGGGACGCAGGTTCGTACCCCGGTCCGAGAAGATCCCACATTGCCGCAGAGCGGCTGGGCCCGTGAGCCATGGCCGCTGAGCCTGCGCGTCCGGAGCCTGTGCTCCGCAACGGGAGAGGCCATAACGGTGAGAGGCCCACGTATCGCAAAAAAAAAAAAAAAAATAGCTTTAGATTTATAGAAGAATTGAGATGATAGTACAGAGGGTTCCCATAGAACCCACACCCAGTTTCCCCTCTTATCTTACATTCGTACGATGCATTTATAATAATTAATGAACCAACATTTATAATATTATTATTAACTAAAGGCTATCTTTATTCAGATTTTCTTAACTGTTACCTAATGTCCTTTTTCTGTTTTAGGATCCCATCCAAGACACCATATCACATTTAGTTGTTATGTCTCCTTAGGCTCCTCTTGGCTGTGACCTTGTTTTTGATGACCTCGACAGTTTTGAGGAGTCCTGGTCAGACATTCTGTAGGGCTCCCCTCCCTTGAGAGTTGTCCTTTTCTTTCTCAGGATTAGACCGGAGTTATGGGTTTAGGGGGGAAGATTACAGAGTTAAAAGTCTCACTAACTTTGGCACGTTTGAGGCAGCAATATGAGAGGATTCAAGTTCATTTCCTTAGAATCCGATAAAGTACGTAATGAAAATATCTGCTTATTTTACTGACCTATTCGCCTGGGAGAGAAGGATGGAGGCATGTCGTCCCGATGCC